GGGAGGTCAGCGTAGTGAACGAGCAGTAGCTTAAATGTGACGTTTTCAAGTGTAAATTTATTTTACCTATGGAATAAATAATCTTTGACTTTGACTTTGACTTTGATCGATGGTCGCCTCTGATGATAGAATCAATAGGCTTTTCAAAGGCCGGGCACGTACTGACTTGAGATATTTTTTAATCGTTTTAACTAACTTACACCCGGACTAGGTTCCCTTAGACCTATTAACTAAAAAGACAGTGACCTTGCTGGCTCTCGCCACGGCTCACGCAGTCTAGACATCATCGTTAATAATGACACAACAGATTCATCGCTACTCCAAAATGATCCCGGATATGATAAAAACATGTAGGTCAGTGGACACCCTGTTACTGTTACTGTTAAGAAAAAATGATTACTTATTTATTAGTTATGAATTACAATTCTGTGACGAGCGAAACATTAAGTCAATTTATGACAAAAAGCACCCTGAATATTTTTTTAAATTTATTATTTAAAACTTAACATCTGCCATTACAGTTATAATCAATGCGATTGTGTACAAATTCATATGTAGATTCTTACATGAAATCCATAATAAAAAACAAAATAAAAAAAATCAACTACTGGCTAAAATTATTACGAAACATGTACATAGCAAATAACGTATAGTGTTATCTTGTAAATTTACACAGAATACATGAAAATATGTCCGTTGTGTCTGCTACATCATGTAGGATCTGCAAAGCTCGCGTGAGCGGGGCCTTCAGGCTCAGATTAGTCTGGCCGCGCGGCACTGCCAACAACCGCGGTTTTCAATTTAGCATAAATTAAGTATTATTTAAAAATACAACTATCTATACAAGGTCAATTTTTCACTTCAAACTGTGACGCTTGCAGTCTGTCTAGCGTTAAGTAACTTCATATAAATTTTACTTAATTGTATAGGAAAACTCAATCCGTAGCTCAGTTGTTAGAGCGGAGATATTAAGGAAATGTTTTTATGGAATATCATGATGGTTACTATCATAATAATTGTAGTGTATGTGACAACACTGTCTATTCATGTGCGATGCGACTACAGTAGTATCACGAGAGCCGTAGGTGATTGTGGACGTAGTGGCAGTTGTTACGTGTGCACTGTCGAGCTACTAATTCCATTGCCATCTATACAGCAGATAATACAAGTGGCGACGAGCAAAAGGGTAAGAAAAGAAAAATGTAATAAAAAAAAAACAATATTCGAATGTGCCCAGGGGGTCAATTCAGAACCTTACGATAACTCAGTTGTCGACCGATTCGATTCGATATCGTACGATTACGCCGAACGTCCTATTGTTTACAAAGCAAGAATGTAATATGGAAAACTCATAATATTTTAATGCAAGTCTAATGCATTCCAATAGGTACGTTAGGCCTTTAAAGTCTGAAAAATGTATATAAAAGGATTTTCACTTTTCTTATAATCTATTTCACCGACTAACTCCGTAAACGCTGTTGGATAATAATATCGTATCCGAAACCAAATCGAACGATTCGGTTAAAATATCAAAGAGTTCTGAATCGGGGACCTGGACACAACGAATACTGCACAAGATGTAAGCGAAAGAAGTGTCACGTGATATGTAAACACAAGTTGTAGGATGATATGTACATAAAGTGATGTGACCGGCGAGTGTTGTCGCTGCACACAATCGAAACTAAATACAACATTGTAGTATAATTTATAATTGTATTTAGCGGGGAAAGACATAGACGATTTCTCAAGATGTGATAAAGAATTTGAATTGGTTAGGAAGGGTGTTTATGAACAACAATGGGACGAGGCTGTAAAAAAACTATAAGATTTTCGAAAATGAGTTGTGTTTTTACAATAATATTTTGCTAAGAGGTCGTATCGTTACATCTCAGAAATTACGGATATACTACACTACTACACGCTGCTCACGAAGGCCATTCAGGCATTGTGGCCATGAAGGGTCGATTACGAGCGAAAGTCTGGTGGCCACGGATTGACGAGGACGTGGAGAATATGGTCAAATCCTGCAAAAGTTGTACCTTAGTGGACCAACCAAATCCGCCAACACCTATGAAAAGGAGGGAACTTCCGTCAGCCCCTTGGATAGACGTTGCAATGGATCTGCTTGGTCCTTTGCCTAATCAGAATTACTTGCTCGTTGTTGTTGACTACAAAGAACTCAAGTTCACGAAATCTACCACTAGCTTGCAAATAATAATATTGCTCAAGGAAATTTTCAGCAGACTTGGACCCAGTCACAATTACGGTGGATAATGGTAAATAAAAATTAACAGTTTGTGAGCAATGAGTTACGATCATTTTGCAAACAATGTAACATTAACATTTTTAATACAATCCCATACTGGCCACAACAGAATGGAGAAGTGGAACGGCAGAATCGAGACATCATGAAAAAATTCAAAATCAGCTACATGAAAAAAAAGACTTCAAAGAAAGTTTATGGGAGTACCTACTTATGTACTACAACAGTACACCTCACGCAACTACTGGCAAATCACTGTCAGAATTCTTTTTTAGACATCTGAATAGAGACAAAATTCCGTCCTTAGACAAACTTGATAATTCAGGAATTGATGGTGATGGTGACATGCGGGATCGAGATAGAAGTCAAAAAGAAAAGATAAACGAAGGGGTGCAACTGAACTAAATATACAGGAAGGAGAAAAGTGTATGATAAAAATATGGTAAAAGGAAACAAACTTGACTCAAATTTTAATCCGACACCACATACAATTGAAAGTTCTAACGGTAGCGATGTGACAGTAACAAATGATCAAACAGGATAAGTATTAAGAAGAAACGCTATCCACCTGAAACAGATAGAAGTGACTGACAGTGGACAGCAGTTCGAGGAAGAGACCGAGATGAAGGAAAGAAACCGGAATGAACCAAATCGTGAATATGAGTGAACAAGTTGTAATAGTATAGAAAAAAGATACAATGGTGAAAGGTATGAGTGAATATGTGATAGGAAGTACTAAATTCATGTGAAGTTGATTAAATGGTTCAATTCTTAAATTGTAACGATTTATTATTTAGAGATGTAGTGTATGTGACAACACTGTCTCGGGTGTTCATGTGCAGTTGTTACGCGTGCACTGTCGAGCCAGTGATTCCATTACCATCTATACAGCAGATAGTACAATAATCATATAGTCATATAGTAATAGATCGAGCACAGAAAAAAATCCTTCGGTCCTTCTGAGTGTTCGATCGCTGTATTCATAATTATAACAAACTAGTGGAGAATTTCACGAAAAATATATGATTGTCATGGTAATCAAACATTATTATACTCAATAAAAACATTTCATGAAGATGCTGTTTATTGACTGTATCATGTTGAATCCTTGTTTTAGCGGACTGTAGCTAGGTCATAGGTAGGTCTGGTCGCCAGGAAAAACACAATTTGAAGACAGAATTTTAATATTAACTTTGCAGTGACAAATTTGGTATACCTGGTTTACAACACACTCCCGAGAATTGTTAAGAACAAAGCGACCGATACATTGAAACAAAACTATTTATGTATTGCCATAAAAATAAACTAATCTAATTGGTTATCACTGTCCTGCCACGATATGGTTTCTTTTTATTTTCTCGATATTTCGGAACAGTTACAAATTAAATTAACTATCGGGAAAATAAAAATAAATCACATCGTAGTAAGAAACCTGTAATTACTGATAATCATTTAGTGAATAACCCCGAAAGTCTTAAAATCTATAACTTATTGGTATGTTACATTATTGCACATAAAAGATTAGATTTATTAGAATTGAAAATGTTAGGTAGGTACCTAGTTCCCGTCTAGTAATTGTGCAACAAGGCAAGTATAATTTGGTTATTACCTACATTCGGTATTAAGTAATTAGGTACAAAATTATTTTACTTATTGCGTTATTTACCTTAAAACAATAAATAATTGGACGGTGTTTTGCAATGTGAATCAACCCGCGGAAAATCGCAAAATTACTAACTATTAATTCTCTCTCTCTTCTTAACATATTCCTACCTCGGAACATAAAGCTAAATATGAAAGGAAGGAACGAAGGCGAATGTGAGTAAGACGAAGACAGTGGTGGTTGAAAAGCACGAAAGGGTTTTACCCCTTTAGGGGCAAAAACGATTGGTATCGAGGTAGAACAAATGAAAGAATATATCTGAGCCGCTAAGTCTGAAAGCGATTTAAAACACAGCAAAAGCGGAAATCAGGTAAATGCAGCTCTGTATGCCTTCACGGGTAGCCAGAACGTGTGGGCGTTCATCGGAGTGTGCTGGCCCCAAGCAATGTACGGTAGTGAGTATTCGGTGTGAGAGAAGAAACATGAAAGTAGGGTGAATGCTGTAGAAGTAAAGCTTTGCGCAGTTAGTTTTAAAGACAGAATGCCGAACAGAGTATTAAGGGAGCGTTGTGGTGTCAAAGGTGATGTAATGGCCCGGATATGAAATGGAATGGTTATAAATAAGACCTGTGAGGTTTAGTCCTGTAGAAAGGATGAACTTTGGATTATCCTCAAAAAATGTGTAGAGTGTAAATGTGATGCATTTGGAGGAAGACTTTGTCAAAAGCCAGGAGGTTCATGGTATCTGTCTACCCCCGAGGGAGACAAGCGCAGTGGGATATACTTATATATATTGCATAGACCATTATTTAGTAATCGCAAATTTAATTACATAAATATATAATAAACTGATCGTAATTATTTATTATTTTATGTTTTTATTTTTAACGTTCATAGCCTCGCACTAGGGAAAACCCTGTATTACGGGTGCCATGGACACACACATAGACAGCACAAACTACACCCAAACTCACGAGAGAAATAAATGTAGGCCATACAAACATTTCTCCCGGCCCATGAATCGGACCCGGGACCTCTGCGTGGCAGTCAAGCACGGTAACCGTTCGGCCACAGAGGCAACAATATTTACTTGATTGAATGAACTCCACCATTTAAGATCTTTCATGCTCAATATCTCAAAACTGTAGTTTCGTGGGTTAACACAAATATGCAGAACACCATCCAATTAGGAAACGAAACTATTTTTTAGAATGTAATCGCATAGATTTGGTTTTTTTTTTCAATAACAAATATAGGCGATATAGATCCGAAAAAATAATTACGAAAACGTACTCGATGCCCTCCAATTAGTACATAATAAAAAGTTGCACCTTTTCCAAAACATACATTTACAAATACGACAACAGATAAGGCTTATTGGATAGTTAATGCTCTCCCAAGACAATCACTACTCGTACGTCTCACCTTTGACAACAAAGAAGAGAACTCAGTTGAACAAGAACTCCTCGAGATGAGCATTGGCCTTCAGTACATTCGCTTCCAGCGTATACGGCCCATCTGAAATGCAGAATTGGACATTAATCGAGTACTTGGCTATTTTTAGGATGTTGACAGACTAGAAAATGATATAAATCCTCGAACTGAGGATTGAGCAATTAGAAAAAGGGTACTTTTACTGCTAAAATATTAATTTGGCTAATGGCGCACCTTGCGAATTATTTATTACGAAAACTAAAGCTAAAAGGAATGATGGCGAATGTGAGTAAAACGAAGGGGATGGTAATTGTAAGGGATAAAAGTGGAAAAATGGGGACAAGGTTGCTAGCGAGAGTGTACAAAAAGTGAAAGTATGTATGTAGCTGGCTGGGTAGTATGTTTTTTTGATAAAAGATGGTTACTATGAAGATGATATATAATAACGGAAAGTAATAGTCGAAATCAGGTAAATGGAGCTCTGTATGCCTTTATGGGTAGCCAGAACGTGTCAAGAAAGTGCGGGTTCCAACCCTGACGTACGCTAGCGAGTATTGAGTATGACACAGAGGGTATGAGAGCTTTGAGTAGTATGTGCTCTGTTAGGACGCCTTCAAATTAGACGCGTAAAGAAGCGCTACAGCGGCGCTACCGTGGCGCTGCAGCCGCCTAATTGATAATGCAGCAAGCATCTATCTGTCATAGTGAAAGGATTTGCCAATCCGGGTCAGGATACTCGCCAATTGTTGTCCAGTGTGCGCCAAACGTATCCCTACAAGTAAGGAATGGTATGTCGTGCGGGGAGAATCCTTTCGTGTACCCGCGATTGTGCATATGCACAATCGTTCAATAAAAATCCACAGTCTGATCTCAGTATCCAGTTTATTCGGATTATTAAGATTTTACACCCCTATTTTGTGGATATTTCAAAGATTCGCACGAAGCGTTACGCTTCCACATTTATGTGGCAAACGGCTATGGAGTGGAAATCCCTGCCGGCAGAATTGTTCCCTGAACGTTATATAATTTGGACCTTTTCAAAGCGAGAGTCAATATATAATTGTAAGTCAATGGTCAATAGGCATTATTTAGGTGTGCATGCTTCACCGTCGACCTCATTGTCACTTTCCATCAGATGAGAAGAAGGGTTATTCATTATATTATTGAAAATAAAACAATTGACTGACATGAATAAAACTGTTGTTACTCGATTACTATGAAAATGTGATTTCTCTGTGTTTGCAAGAATTAAGTGATACTTTATTCATATGTTTCCGTATTTTGCAAAAATATGTTAACCACCCTTGAAACATAAAGTAATAATTTTGTAGATATTATATCGAATTTTGCATTAACAATTTTTATTTAATTACTAATCGCAAGTTTGATACCTTAAAAAAATAATAAACAGATCGTAATGCTTACTTCATTACAAATCTTTTGGTATATAATTGTCCTGTAAACTTCATTATTTAAATTAGTAATAACAAAAAGTTGCCAAAAATCTTTAATGCTCAATATCTCGAAACTGTCATTTTGTGTGAGAACTCATTTATGCAGAACACGGCCCTATAGTCTGCAAAAAAGGCGCGCGTGTGGCGCAACTGTAGCGCTACATAACAGGTGCGCCACTGCAGCACTTCTGTAAGCGCCTAATTTGTAGGCCCTCATACTGAAAAAGAAGATGTTTAATTGCTTGTCTCTAAATAAACATATTCATTTTAGAATATTAGTTTTGTTGATTTGTTTTTTATTATATTTCGAGAAGTTGATTGATCTCATTGAAGTTTTAAATTCCATAAATAATAAAAATAACGTACAAAATACTGTTTTTTTTTGTTATCCGACATTTTTAAAGAATTATTTAGGTGACAATAGAAAAGTATAGCTTAGTTAGTATAGCGTCTGGCACATTAAGCTAGAAGACGTCGGTCCGAATCCGGCCGGATCCAAGGAATTTTTTCTGGGTGTTCGATCTTTGTATTAATAATTGTAACAAACTAGTGGAGTAATTTCACAAAAAATAATGGAATATCAATGCAATATAAAATTTAAAATAGAAAAGTATCCGAAAAAACCGAATAACTGAGTAACCAAAAATTTAAAAAATAAAAAACCAGTTTTCTAAATCAATCTGTTTGTGAACGCCCTTTTTGCAAGCGTATTGGTGATATTGATACTCACCGACATTGAACCACTGCGTCTGAGGGATACCAGAGTCCTCCCGAGAGGCCGCTATCGCCTCCCGCAGAGCGAATGCCACGCATACCGCCATCGTCGTCGGAGGTTCACCAACAGCTATAAACAATAATAATAATAATAATAATAACGCTCACACTCAACATAGCCCCGCACTAGGGAAACCCTGTGTCGCGGGTGCCATGGACACACACATAGACAACCACAAATTACACCCAAACTCACGAGAGAAATAAATGTAGGCCATACAAATATTTCTCCCGGCCCGGGAATCGAACCTGGGACCTCTGCGTGGCAGTCCGGCATGGTAACCGTTCGGCCACGGAGGCAGTTATAAACAAGTACATTCACTCACTGAAATTCTTAAGGCTGCTAACAGACTGACTGCATGTTTGCAGTTAATGAGTAAAGTCGTAATCAACTTCATGAAGCCGAGACCTCGACTGCATGAAGTAGATGTCGTATAATACTGATTTCAATAAGGCTTTCTATTAAATTTGAAGCTGTGGCGGCTCGGTATTCATGGGGACCTATTCCGTTGGATAAAATCGTTCACCGGGAACCGTAGTCAGGCTGTCGTGTTGTCTGGGCATTGTTCGGAATACAGGATTATACCGTCTTGTGTACCGCAAGGTTCCCATTTCGGACCATTGTTATTCGTATTGTACGTCAATGACATAACAAAGTCTATAGAGCATTCACGTGTTCTTTTGTATGCTGATGATACTAAAATATTTAGGATTATTCTTAATGAAGAAGATGTTCATTAATTACAACAAGATATTAGATTAGAGCTTTCGAAAATTACTGTGCTCAAAGTTGTCTATTTTTAAATCCCGATAAAGGTTTTTCAATTACTGTAGAGAAAGAACATCCAAAAGTGCATACATATACAATATGTGGAAAAAATCTCAATAGAGTGATGGAGATCAGAGACCTTGGTGTTATCATGGATTCTAAACTCACGTTTGTTCCACATGTTGATAAAACAGTGTCTAGGTCTTTCAAACTATTAGGGTTTATATTACGGATTGGTGAACCTTTTAAGAACTCATTTACCTACAAGTTGCTTTTTAATGTACGTACGTAGCAGGCTAGAATTTGCAAGCTCTGTGTGGACTGTCCAGTTGCCGAAAATGACTGATCAGAGAAAATGACGAATTGGGCAAATTGACGAGTTACAAATTTAGATGGCATTGGCAAATTACAGAAATTGACCAGTTGACGAAAATGGCGTATTAACGAGAATAGCGAGTGGTCCCTTAGTTCCTGTGTCATCGGCATCCCTACCAAACTGTACTCCAAAATAAAATAGAAAGGATACGTAAATTCATCAAAGCTCTGGACTATAGAGTGCGTCATAATCATGTAGACTACGTCATCCCTTAAGGTGTACAATATTGTTCCAATATGTAGCATCGTCGTTCTCTAATTGACCTGACATATTTATACAAAATATTGCATAACATTGTAGATGCACCATTTTTGTTGGAAAATGTATTTATTCGTGTGCCGCGAAACAATGAAAGAGCAAATCGTAAAAAAAATATTTTTGTCGTTAAGTTTACTAAAACATGTACTGGTAGCAACAGTCCCATAAAAATGACTTGTTACTTATACAATTGAAAATGTAGTGAAGTTGACTCATGTGTGCGGGAGTTCAAAAGCCACATTAGCAAATCAAATTTAAATACGGACTCTCGACATTAGTTTTGTTTAATTTTATTAATTTTTTTTCTACTTAATATACTATACCACTATACCTTATACTTATTCACTTCTAATTACATGCAACTACAGGTTTTAGTAATACGTTAAAAGTTGTTTTTATTTCGTAATTATAAAAAAGTCTTTGTTCCTGAATAAAAAAAAATATTTACCCATTTGTTATCGAAGCAACTATGACCAATATAACACGTACACGATACAGTATGATTTTATTTTAACATTATTTGTTGCGCGTAAACTACAATAGTACATTAATACTACAGCGGAAATTCACGTTTTCATAACTGCATTTGAGTATATGTTGTGGCAAGTGTTAACATTACTTACCCTTCGCACCAATGACGCCAGTCGGATTGAATGAGTTCCTACGTAACTGCACGCGAAAGTCGATCGGGATGTCCTTCGCGAGCGGCACGTGGTAGTTCCAGGTGCGATCAGTGAGCACCTCGCCACTCGGTGCGACAATCTGGTGCTCTGACGTCCAGTACCCCACGCCCATCACGAATCCGCCCTCGATCTACAATATCAAGCCCATATCGTCGGGGATAGTGTAATTACGCGTAACTAGCATTTGATTACGAGTCTCCATTTTGATAATCTAGTCGCCAAATCAAATCCGCGTAAATGTTTTTTTTTAATTTGACGGAACGAATGAGTCGTGCGCCTGATGGTAAGCTACACGCCTGTCCATAACAGTTACAGTGCCACTCAGAGCTTTAAATTGCAAAGATCTGAGGGGCACTATCACTGCGCCCGTCACCCTGAGACATAAGTTGACAAGTCCCATGTGCCTGTAATTTCACCAGCACCCTTACCCTTCAAAACCGGAACACAGTAATGGTGACATTACTGCTTGGCGGCAGAAATAGGTAAGGTGGCAGTACTACCCTGGATGAACTCTGTCACAAGGATCTCTACTGCTCTAATGTCATGGGAACCAAATTTGCGTTATTGCGGGAATCAATTGATATTAGTCCGTGGACAACATAAATTAATGCTTACTGAACAAAAGTGAAAGTCGTAGCCATTGAAATAACAAAGCAAGTATCGTTAAATCCCTCTCCTGTGAAATTTGGTTTGGTGCAGATACGCGCTTTTTACCGATCCTACATACGCGGATTTGCTCTATCCCCGACGATATGATAATTATATATTGTGCTAAGAGTATGATTGTAATAGGAACTACTAACACTCATTTGTTACTCACCTGACCGATATCTATTTCGGGATTTAGACTTGTTCCTACGTCTTCTATTATATCGACCCTTCTAATTTCGTGTTCACCAGTCAAAATATCCAACTCAACCTCTGCAAAAGCGGCACCTCCTGATCGGTGAATCGTGATGTCGTTTGGAGTCACTCTATAACTCGCTTGCAAGTTGATACCTCGGAGATACGCGTTCAGTATCAGCTCCTCCCACGTAGGGTTGTTGAGTTCTTCGCGGAGAGCTGCAAGTCTATCTAAAATAATTTGGCAGCATTTTACTGCACCAAAACATACGGCACCAGTAGATGTGCTACCTCCAGTGACAGATGTATTAGGGTTTGATGCAACATCTGTTGGCTTCACCTTAACCTTATCCGTCTTAATATTCAAGGTGTAAGCGATAACCTGAATTACTTTGGTATTTTTGCCTTGCCCTATGTCCACTCCTCCGTGCTTGACTACTAGAGAGCCATCTCCATGGTAGATAGAGATCGTGACTAAATAGTCCACTATAACTCCAGCTGGCCATCGCATCAGAGCAACTCTCAGGCCCCGTTTTTTCCACCTGTTCAATTGATTGAATTCTTTAACTTCTTTCTTTCGTTTTTCATATTCTGCATCCTTTACAAGGGTTTGTATCATTTCGTTAACTTCAGGGGCGTTTGGACTAAGATTGTTTAAGCGGACTTCTAGAGGATCTTTATCGAGTACGTAAGATATTTGCTCCATTATATATTCAGTCAGTGCTATAGTATCAAATGTTCCTACAATACAAAGAGACAGATGATGATTTTTATCAAATAAAAGATTTTCTTGTTTATGAGATATAAATTACCAGGTGCTCTGCAAAACGAATTAGACGGGGTGTCTGTGGTAACATTGAATGTCTTGATTGACCATCGCCGACTGTCGTAGCAACTCCGGATGGCTGGACCAGCAAATCCAATAAGAGGTTCGTTCACAACGTAGCCGTTGTCCGCATAGTAATGATATTCTAAGTACTGAATCTCACCTAAGTCATTTACGCCAACCTAAAAAATTACCCCTTTATTTATGGACATTACAACGAAAAAATATATACGTATAAATAAAAGATGTCCTATTTATGCAACGTTTAAGCATAAGTAGCTATTTTTTAAATGACTTCAAAAAAAGGAGGTGGTTCTCAATTCGATTTTTTTTTGTATGTATGTTACACGACAACTCTTTGTTATGTTACGCGGCATTTGTGAACCGATTTAATGATTAATTTTTTGTTGGAAAGAGGGTGCCTCGGTACCTTTGCCTTTGGTAGCTTACTTGCTTGAGACCACGGTCTAATGCTGTCAGGAATGCTATCATCTTTCTCACTGTATCGATATCCTTGATGATGCAGTGGTTCTGTACTACGAGGTACCCTAGCACCGACAGCTTGGCGTTGAGAGCTGCTGAGTGCGACTTCTCCAGGTGAGACACCTCTTTTGCTCGATCCGCTCTCAACTGTTCAACGGCGCATTCATGACGCGATCGTGAGTCTGCTAGACGCAAGATCATGTTGCAAAATTCTTGCAGACTCGCGACGACGACGTCCCTGATTTCCCGTTTGAGGTTCCGGGAGCTCTCCACTCCTTTTTTAGCTGTGCTGTGGAGGTGGTTAGCTCGCGCCGGAGTCTGACGGACAGGATCTTCGTTAGCGAAACTAGCGAGGCTCTACTGTGCCTCCGCCCGAGCCTCTTCTTCGCCAGGCCTATCGGAGAGAACCGGTAATCCGATCGATCCCGCTACGTTCGACTCCACCGATTATGGAGTATATTGAGCCGAAGTGGTGACACCTCTGGCGACATTGACGATTGCCAGTTCTCTCAGCGACTTCGGAGTCGAAGTAGCCAGTAGCCGGCGGTATTTTGTTAGGCAAGAATCCAGGGAGAGTTGGTGTGGCCTTCCATCATGCCTTCTTCTTTTCTCTGCTTTCTTCTGGACCACGCTGGACGGCGTCTTGGCCGTTTTAGTTATCTTCGGAAGGCCGAACATTTTGCCAAAGCCAAGTAAATGAAACCAGCGTGAGTGGGAAGATAAATTTTAGCCCGGTATTGCCGGAGGGGGGCGTGCAAGGTGTCGTTAGAGAAGGCTCTCGGTGAGCTAAACAAGTACATTCAGTACAAATTTAGAAAAATGTACTAAATCTACTTTTTTGTATGAAAATTTTGACATTTTGAAAAATTTACTATGGGAGGGGTCACGCGATCGCGCGCAAACCAACCTAGGATCAAAGACAACAATTAATTATAATTTTTTAATAGGAAAAAACCACCAATACCGTTCGGGGAGTGGGGTTTGAAATTTTGTTACCGGACAAATACAAGTCAATAAAGCTAACGAAACAAAACAATAAAAATTAAATTAAGTTCTTAAAAATGTTACCTGGGGTCTAAAAAGATGTTTTTTGTCCATATGTGAACAACTGCATTGAAATAACGAAGTGAGTAAATATTTTTTTGTTCAATTTGTAATTAATATTTTACAACATTTAAATAGGAACGCAAGTGTTATGAATTAAACTGGTTTCTTTAGTGTGTAGTTTCGTCCTGTTAAAAAATTATATGAGCACAAGTACACCGAACTAAAATTGAAATCATGTCCTGATAACAGACACATTATACCTCAAAATCCCTAGTAGATGGATTACGTTTCCCAGTAGATCGCAAAGTCGATTGGATGCTGGACACAAATCGGCACGGTCGGTTCAGCAGATACGTTGTTAGTGCACATGCCACTGTCACCTGATGACCACGTGAAATTTTGTTACCGTATGCACCTCCACAACGAGATACTTCGAGATTGATTCTAAAAAAATATGGTATTTATCTTGACCTATTCGTTAATACAAATCACGAAACAAATCACATAAGGTAGGTTATATTGATACCTTTTTTTTTTTTTTTTTTTTTTTTAACCTACCTATTTTGTGGAATATTCAAAAGGTCAGAAATGCTAAGGTGAGTCCAGCTTGGAAACTGAGTTGCTGGAAATACGTCAATACCATCATCGCTCGGTCGAGTGACACACGCTAGCGTTTCCATCGAATAGTGGTACTGCCAGTAGAGGTTGTGACAGTCACTGATCACTTTACGTACGTTACTCCCACGGTCTCTCGCTGGTATAGCGACATACAAATTGACTCTACTTGGATCCTGTTCTCGGATTTCGTTAATCGTCAACAGGGGTCCATGTTTATCTTGTCTGTATTTCACTCTCACAAGCAAAGCAGCCCTATTGGCTAATTTTTCCGAATCAGCCACCACTATCCCTAGTGGTTGGTCATAAAATTTTACGATTTTATCTGCAAATAATTCTTCGTTTGCCGACGCACCAGCCTGTTTCAAAGATACGAAAGAATTGATCCCTGGTATGTCTTTTGCTGAAAAAAAGGCGATTACCCCAGGTAATTTCTGAAAATATGGAAAAAGGAATATTGTGTACATACAAAAAAATTACTCAACTGATTTACATATCTTACAAAACATAAGATCGTGTCTTACCAACGCTGGGCTTGGATCAATTTCTTCTATTACTCCGGTGCCAATATCAGATGTAACAAAAGCACAAAAGACTTCGTCCTGCTGTGTGGGCAAATCGTTAACATACTTCGCTTCACCCGCGCACTGGATCAAAGCATCTACCTTGGGCATGGGTTCGTTGATAGGCCAAATGTCCGGATTGGTGTCGTATACCTCAGTGCCCTTAGATAAAGGTCTGCTCTTCCTCAGGTCGCTCACTCCTGAACGATACCAAGGCTTCAGACTTTGTTGAGGAATTATCGTTAACAAGCCCTGCAATAAAGAACAAAATTAGAAAAATTATATACATATATGCATAGTACTCTCCTCCGCTCCCTCAACTTGCCTTATAAAATAAGCCAAGCGCGCACTTCTTTCTGTACTCCGGTGTCAACTCGCCGGCTATGTTTTCGACCTTTAGCTCTAGTTCCAAGGTGTGGAGGGCTTCTTGTAGCACCTTGTTAGTGAACAGGTTCTGGCCTATGAGTAGTTGCTCAGTGTGCGAGGCATGGGTGAAATACGCGGAGAGACCACCGAACACGATACGCGCTGACACAACCTCGTTTGGCCGATGAGGGTCAAACTGGTATAAGAATGCGGCGTTCACCGATGCGTGTGCGTTTTGGGACCGAGGCATCACCTGCAGAGTGCAGAGTCGATAGATATTGATAAATTCATGAAAACAATACCTATCTAATGGACAATTTAAATATCATAGAAATACAAAACCTTAAAAGATACGAATTCATAGTTGTGCGATAGCGGTGGTAATTTTACGTGAGTAATCACTTTCCCGGTCATATTTAAATGTAGAAATTGTTCTGGCAAAACTTCCGTCACGGATTCCTTACTGGCTGTAAAAAAACAGAATAATTGTAATTAGATGACATAAAAATGTTGTTACGTTAAGGGAGGTGGACAGTACAAATCACGATCCTTGTCGGAAACTTGGAAAGATTGACATCCGCGGCCTACCTCTCGAACTGCTTACAGAATATCTAATAAACCGTAAACAAAGGGTTAAAATTGAAGACATTATTTTTTTCGCTCTCATTTTATGGACAAAACTTTTTCTGACCATCTTGATGTGTCGATACTTCCAATAAGCTTCCAATGAACACTACGCCAACTTAATTGTTAACCTGTTTCTGTTTTTATTTAGTTTTTGTTCCTTTTTTCACAAAATTCGTTCTTTTGTTTTTTTTTCGAATCATTATTTTTGTTCCTTTATTATGTGGGTTTATAAAAATAACAGAAAATTACCAAAAAATAAAGTTGGCGTAGTGTTCATTGGAGGTATCGGTGTGTCAGTTGTCCTTAATTTTGTGGCATTTTCGATCATCTCCATTGAGATGATTGAAAATGCTATTGCGCAACGATTTTCACATTGCACTCTAGACGAGGAGGACCCGGGTTGATTCTTGGAGGGACCAATCAGGAAATAAACTTTTCTAAATTGGTTCGGGTTAGGGTCTGGGTAGTGCCGCAGAGTAAATTAAGAAATGAGTGAGCTAATAAGGAAACGGCATGGTTCTATGCGGCCCAGTTCACCTGGGAAAACTGAATTTTTAAATTCGTATCATGACATTTATATATAAAGTTGAGTAGCCATTGCACGAGAAGCTGGTGAGTTTTACTTTTTAAACATTAATCATTGTATCTGACCAGCTAACGCTGTCATTATTATTTTTATTTTGTTAATGGCGGCCACTGGAGACTATTAAAGGCTTGGGAACAAAGAGGATATAACCACTACGCCATGGGAAAACGAAATCCTGTAGTTGTTTTTTCATTCTTTCCGTAAGGGAAATACATACATACAGCCATACAGCCAGAATTTTTCTTCTTTTTTACACTGTTACGAGCCCGCCACTTTCTAGAAACAGTTTATTCTTGTCTTTTGGCGATTAGCGTTTCAGGCACGCGGTGTTCTGACTTGTTTGGTCACTGGGTAACTTTTATGGAATGCTTATTTTGACAGCTGTGACGTTAAGTTGCATGTCAAGTGGCTCGTGCTGTTAAAATTTTTCCATATATTTTTTATCCTCTAAGAATTTTACGAAGAGAAATAGATGAACCGCTTTTGAACCGTCAACGTAAAGTCCATGGAGACATTTGACAATCGGCTGATAGAGGACGGTGGAAGAAAAATACATGTTGTGCCGACCCCACTTAGCGTGGTATAACGGCAGGAAGAAAAGGAAGACGTAAGAATTTAATAGGCAATTCAATTCTCGGGCTTAATCAGGGTTGCTACATAGGGTGCACTATAAGTTTCCGGAACTGGCCACTCACATAAATAATATTTAAAAAGTAATTACACCATTTAAAAATGGAACTCTGGCTATAGAATACAGTTTGTTTCATCTGACTGGCACTTGTTTTTACATTGTGGCGTCATTTTAGAAATTGATTGTCTACTTCACCATGGATTTAACTCGTGAAAATTTTCGTAGTATGATTTTCTACGACTTTAAGTATAATTTAACAGCTCAGCGGAGCTTCGCTCAGCTTCAAACTGCTTTTGGCGATGAAGCACCGTGCAAGACGACTATTTATAGCTAGTTTGCAGAATTCAAACGCGGTCGTGTAAATTTCAGTGACGACTTTCGTGATGGTCGCCCGTTCACTGCTGTGAACGACAAAAACATCGATGCTGTGCGCCGTATGATCAAAACAGACAGACATGTGACATACCAAGAGATTTGGGCATCTTTAGGCATAGGCATGAGTCAAATACAATCAATACTACACAAACATTTGGGTGTGAAAAAGCTCGAGCTCTCGGTGGATTCCACACAATTTGACTGAGGCTCAAAAAACGGATTGTGTCACTTGGTGCAATGCCATGCTTACCAGATTCAACGAACTGGCGTCAAATTTGGTGTGGGACATAGTAACGGGTGACAAAATATGGATTTATTATTACGATCCCAAAACAAAGTAGCAATCGAGCGTATGGGTTTTTCGAGATGAGCCGAAACCAACCAAAGTGGCGCGCGTTCAAAATGCCTCTAAGCCGATGATTGCTTTTTTTTTAATAAAACTGGACACGTGGCTACTGCTGCTTTGAAGAATCGTTGTACCGTGAGTAGTGATTGGTACACGACCATTTGTTTGCCTGAAGTTATTGATAAACTCCGTAAAAATAACCGTAAACGCCGTATCATCTTGCACCATGATAATGCCAGTTCTCACACGGCCAAACAGACAAGCCATCAAGACAAGGGTTTTTCTAGATGAGCCATCCCGCGTTCAGTCCCGACCTGGCACCTTGTGACTTTTATTTACTTCCAAAAATTAAGAACGAGTTACGCGGTCAACGATTTTCATCACCTGAAGAGGCTGTCGAAGAGTATGAAAAATATATTTCAGAGATTGTCACGGAGTGGCATAAATGTTTTCAAAACTGGTTCATTCGTATGAAAAACTGCATTAACGCTAACGGAGAATATTTTGAGAAACAATAAATTCATTTCTGACCATTTATAGTAGGTATTTTTTTTCTTATTCGTTCCGGAAAGTTATATTGCGCCTCACGTATAAGGGCTCAAGAGGCCCAGGTAATTGGTGCGTTTGTTTGGCACATTATTTTGTGTAATAGTTGAAGTTACCTATAGTCAGCACAGCCCCTGTTGACTCCAGCAGCAAGTAAACGTCGGAAGAAAAAGTTGGCTGTCGATGCTTTAGCATGAGATTTCCAGCGATAGTGCCGATCTGGAAAGCACCATCTTAACATTTGAGTCTATTTATCACGTACAATGAACAGTAATTTCCGACCTCGTGACATCACTTACGTTTCTGACAGGAATATGCGCGACTAAGTCGAGGTGCTCGTGCAACTTGAGCAAATAACCGAACTCTTCTTCCTGATGCGCTACCGTCAGCATTATGTCCATGAAGTTTGTAAGGGTGCTGCCAGCGCCAACCACCAGGTTCTGGTCGACGTAGTAGCCCTTCAGCTCCTCTACGGGCTGGATGTCTATCAGCACTCGCGGGAAATCGAACACCGGGACGGCACCTCGTGACATGCCAGGCAAGGAGACATTTTACTACAACGCCACTAAAACAATTGATTTTATTTTATAGGTTTACACAACAGATACAACTCTTACCTTTACCGGTGTTTCCATTCACCAGCATGTACGAATCGTCACCCTCTTGTTCCAAAATAGCAAAGATATCTTTGACTTCTTTCACTCTATACCAAATTCTGTTGTCTTTCAACTTGATCTTGATAATTTTTGCTTCGTCGTTAGGTTTCTGCACGATGCACCAGTCCCTGCAATCTCCGGTGCAGTCGCCTCCGCCTCGTCTGCAGGTCAAGTCTTCAATATCTGTGACGTACTCGTTAGGCTTGGGCGCGTCCTTGGCGAAAGTTTTGAAAGCGTCGAGGATAGGTCTGAACCCGGTACACCGACAAACGTTGCTCCCAAACGAATTTTCAATTTGACGTTGCGTCAAATTGTAATCGCTACTTTCTAGTAAACTGCAAAATTTGAAAGTACGTTATTACTTGTAGAACAAGAATATAAACAACCCACTGCACCCTACGTGGCACTGGCACTTACCCGTACATAGCCATTACCCAGCCGGGCGAACAATAGCCGCACTGCGAGCCGTTGTGCTCGGCCAGCGCCCGCTGTAGAGGGTGGTAACCGCGGCGGCGATCGCCAAGCCCTTCCACGGTGGTGACTTGCCAGCCGTGACATGACGTCACTGACACCAGGCACTGTAACAAGCACACCTTGAGTAAGGCAAGGTAGCTGGCCAACGACCTCGCTGAGGGGTCGGGGGCTCACCGAGTTGACGGAAAAGACGCGGGGAGCCGTGTCATCGGCAGTGCTGACCGCCACAATGCACGCACCGCACCCACCCTCCTTGCACATGTACTTAGTGCCACGCAGGTTCAGCCGCTCGCGGATGTAGTCGTTTAGCGACACGTCTGAGTCCACATCGCCGCCCACTGCCACAACATTCACATTGCTACATGAATATTTTTATTTATCTTCTTCTTACGTGTTCCATGATGTAACAAAAACAAGCAGTCGGCCATTCTCAAACCAAAAAATTTTGAAAGTCAAAGGCACTCGAATAGTGGGAATGTACCAGTATCGACGAATTCGCTCGTAATTTACATAAGTATCTAATTACCGTAACTTTGGTTTTAAAAATTTCTACATCCTGTTCCCTTATTTTTGAATTAGAATTTTCAGGAAATATCTTGTGGCTTATTGAAATAAAAGCGCTAAGATGCCTTTTGTGTACCTATTACGATATTCGAGTATTTTCAATCACTCCAGTTTTTGAAATTTTGAAGAAAATAGTTCGTGTTCTAAGTACCGTTACGAAGTATAAATTACTGTAGATTTTCTAAGTACCGTAGTATGACAATATGGAAGAGTTTTAAACATTACATACTATTTCGCGATATGCTTTGTTTCCAAATAGAATGTGATACAAACCAGACTTCTAGATAATTTGACATTATAATCAAACCATATAACAACATTTTTTCAACACAATGGGAAAAAATAAGAAGGAAATTGAAAAAAACGACACTTGCGGCACATCGACGGTGACAATGGTGACGGTGATTTTATATCAACGATCAGAGAGAGAGAGTAAAGAAAATTAGTTGTTTCCAGTTTGGAAAATGACTGTTAAATAGAAAAAATCGAACGCGAATCAGAATCAATTTCAGAGCATGATACAAAAGCTACAAAAAAAATGACAACAACTCAATTAAATGGCACAATTTATGAGATCCCCTGAAAACTCCATCGCTAATCAATTCGCGAGATACCCGACATATAGTAAACCGACCGCGGTTCCAGCGTGCTCTTGAAGAAAACCACAAAAAATATTGTGCTTTGTCAGCCACCTACTTCTTCCAAGAACTCCACAAATGCGAATCGCTTGGACAAAGATTCGAAATCCATTTTCTTTGCCTGGATTTGTTGACACCACGGTCCACGTCTGTTTAGAGCTTTTTTTTATACTGCTGAATTATTAAGTTTTATATTATGCGTTTACCATTGGTGCACCATTCAAGATCGTTTAAATGAACTTAGAATAGATTTTTTAATAATAATAACAACAAGAGCCTCTAACCTTAAAAGAAAAATAGCAAAAAGTCATTTGGTTCAGTGTAGTATAAAGCTTCTGTTTAGTTTAGGTACCAGTCTCTTGCAAACATTATGTAAACACAATGTTTGTCTATTATAGTTTGATTCATGTATAGTTGTTATGTTTGTGGAGATAAATAGGTAAATACATTATTATTATGTAACAAATAATTATAATTAATATAACAAAAATTTACAATTAATTTCATAGAGTAGAAAATCGAAATGAAACTTATTTTATTTCTAATTTTTGCGTTTTCTTAAAAATGTTTGCACTTTCTAATTACCGCAGCCACGTAAAATAACCATTACTAATTACCGTTGCCTACTTACTTTGTCTATCAAATCTTTTATACGCAATTTGGAATTCTCTAAATAGTTTGGGTTTGGTAAACATTTACTAGAATTTATACATACATTTACTGCTATTTTCCCGTATTTGATTATTTACTCTGTGAAGTTGTGCCCATTAATTCCTTGTCATATGAGAAGGTTTCCTCGTTTTAATAACTTTAAAGTAACTATCTCGTCACTGTCTTGTTTGTTAACTTGAATTAAAATTAAAAAAACCTATAAAACGGTGTACTCTAAAAAGTTAACAATTATATATATTTATTTCTAATAGAAAATATATATTGTATACAATATATATGAACAATGATGTGCACTTATTCTATTGTTAGAAAATTTAAAATTTAAAATATATATTTGAACGCATGTAGCCCACAACAATGTCTAACATAGGGGCAGTCATCCCCTACGACACGGAGAACAGTGTTGGGGCTGGCCCGCACACGACGCAAAAAAATGCATGAAAACCGTCAACACGTGTGTCAGCAAACATCCCGGGTGTGCTGCAGACACGGAGCAGCCCCATCAACACCCGGAACGCGTTATTATATTGAGTCAGTAGGAGCCAGTAAGCCCTGTTCGTATACTCTCGCCACAGGCCGCATGGAGGGACATTACGCTCTGAAGAGAGTTACCTTCACCTCTTCCGAATATCTTGCGAGTCGACGTGCGATCATATTTGCCCTGACTGACCGAGCCCTACGTTCCCTTTCGATATCGCTGTCATGTTTAAGATCAGGCGCCAAGGTGAGGTAACTCGGAGTTACACTTACGTCTGCTCCCGAATACCATATATTGGCTTTTCTGTGTATTATATTTTAGCCTGTGGTCTATCGCATTCGTCTCACACGCCTTCAACAATTTACGCAGACCACAGATCGACACACTCAGCATGGCCATGCCATCTGCATAACGAAAATTGTTTAGGCACACTCCGTCTGTATGGCACCACACTCGAGCTTGTAATGGTCCGATAGCCTCCCCGCCCATCTAACGCAGTTGATCTGATTACCATACCAGTATTTAAATATATGAATTAATTCTGGAGACAAATTTATGTTTTTTAACTTTTTCCATAGGGTATTATAGGAAACGAGATCGAATGCCTTAGATAGGTCTAGGAAACCGCGGATAATTGGCGTATTTCTATCTGCACAGTACTTGCCAGTGTGCTTTAGACATAGTATTGAACTTCCCTTTCATTTTCGTGGATAAACCAGGACAAAATCCGAACTGATCGTCATGTAACCAAAGATACGCGCTTAACCGTACGTGAAGCATACTGTCAAATACTTTAGCAATGACAGTTCCAAGAGATATTGATATCTTATAATTTTCTTTATCCAAAAGATCGCCAGTCTAATTTTTTATTACAGGAACAATAATGGTTTTCATTACATTTTGAGGTAAATAAGCGTGTACTATACACATAGTAAAAAACATTGCGACTATTCTATATATATGTGGACCAGCGTAATGCTCAGTAAGAGCTCAATGCTAAGACATGAGAATAGAATACAAGCTGTTTATTCGCTGAAAAATGTAGTTAACATTGCAGGTCTTATCGTATATTATAGTAGATCGTACATTTCAGCACAAACTGGGCATGCGAATATTTTACACCATTCTTTTTTCATTTTTGGTGTAGCATGCATTAAAGTTAAATTAAAAATAGCATCAACAAACAACAACAATTGGCATTTAACCGCAAAATAGGAAGTCAAAAATATAACATACAATAGTCAAATTTCACATTTTATATTATTATGTAAAAAATTTAATTGTGCAATTTCATTTTAAATTGTCTACAATTAAATTCTTTAACTGCATCCGGTAATTTATTACATAATTTAGATGCTAATACGGACGTCGTTCTTCTGTGAAATTCCAAATTAGAACGTTTGGGCCGTATTTCTATTTTTAACCGACTTCAAAAAAAGAGAAGGTTCTCAATTCGATACAGTCGAAGTCGTTTTTTTGTATACATGTTAGGCGATAACTCCGGTAATTGTGAACCGATTTCATGATTCTTTTTTTGTTGGAAAGAGGGTACCTCCATAGTGGTCCCATTTCATTTTGAAGAAAATCATCCACCTCTAAGGGTGGCTGTTCACGCATGAAGATTAATTTTTATAAATAGCGCCTAAATGTTATTATACGGAGCAATTATTTTAATGGTTGATTTTGCTATTCTCCAATTCAAGGCGTTTTTCTCTAAATATACCTACTTTGAGTAGTGAGAACCGATTTTTATATCTCATGTGTCAAGTTCCGTATAGTGGCGAACTAATAATAATAATAATAATAATATAATATAATATAATATAATAATAATAATATAATAATATATCTTTATTAACACTTTGCCTTATAATTAGTACAGAGCAGCAATTTTATTATTTATTTAACAAAATTTTATTGGTATAGATATAACCGTAGCACAAAATATAAAATAAGGCGTACCAAATTTAGAGATTCTGCCTCCTAAACTAATCAAAGACTGTATCTTAGGAGGCAGTGTTCAGTTAGGGGTAACTATTACAAAAAATCAAATCTTTTATTGAATCCAATCATTATAAAGTATATAAATATAAGTGAGTCTGTACGGTTGTGGTTTACAACTACAGTGAAAGGCATGCGTGTACCAAAAAATATTAAAAAATAAGATTTCATAATTTCTAAAAGGGTGATTCTAATGAAGAAGTAAGAAAATAAAGAAAAAAATAAAATATACTTCGTGACCTATATATATAAATGGACGTGTAAGTGTGTGGTGTGTGTGTGTGTGTGTGTGTGTGTGTGTGTGTGTGTGTGTGTGTG